TCAAATTCATTACGTCAAATCCAGACAAGTAATAATACATATTCAATCACACCATCACAGAGTTGCTTGTTTCAGCTTGTGGGAATCTTGAATTGGCATTGCAAGGGAAGTTAATTTGCAGGATAAACAATTAAACAGACACAGACTACAGACAGGTGATTCAGCATTTCAGCAGATTTTGTTTAAACCTCAAATGCAGTTCAAATGGAATTCTCGTTCTGTTTCTGTAAGCTAGATGCAGCCCTCAACATTTATTGACAAAAATTTGACAGAAAATACTACAAAAATCACAACAAATTACTCAAAAAATCCCTAACAGGGCATGAGGCAATCTGCAATCACAGTATCACACATTCACACTTCAACCCTACACATCCATTATCCAATATCCATACTCCAAATCTCCAATTCTCAATCACAAAACAAAATACAATAAACAAGTTCTTTAACTGAAGCTGGAAAAAAGAATCCCTCATCGTGGAATCAAGAAACCAGGTTGGTCTGAAGAAACATACCCGTAATTGAAAGCCGGAATTGCTGCACTTCGTCTGCTGCCCTCTTCCCAGCTTGTTCTGCCCTGCAAATAACGCCTCAAATTAATCAATTGATTCAATTTCATATCACCGGGAGGCGGGAGCGGGATAAAAGGAAAAAAATTATTTTTTACTCTTTCAGGCGGAAACTGTATAGAAGAGCCTGAGGCTTGTCTGCCTTGCAAAAAATCTTTTTTACCCACGGCCGGACGGAGGGAACTCAGGCGACGCAGCAATGGAGGCAACGCAGTGGAGCTGTGGAGGCGACGGAGCAGTGACGAGGGAATGGGATGAACTGTTCTTTTACCCTTTTTAGCGTTTTAGGTTAATTTAATTAAAAAAAACGAAAAATGGGCCCTCAAAAATTTTGGGCCTGAGGCGGTGGCCTCTTGGGCCTCCCCTCAGGTACGGCCCTGTCTGTCCGTAGGCAGCTGGATCAACTTTATATATTTTATTCATTTCTATCACCCAAGCACTGTCCATTCTAGATCTTGCTGCAGCCCATAATATATTCTTCAAAGCTAAGTTCCTTCTATTTTGCGCTAATGTTATTGTATTCTATCTATTTTTTTATATATACATTTTAATATTTTCAACATGATTTGAACTTTTCTCTTTGTCCTACCATTTTGTTTGTTCAAATACCATCCAAAATTTGTGTCCTACCATTAAATCTTGCTACAACATTAGCTTTGCATGATATTTAAATTCAAGCAGCAAATTTCATATACTTTCACAATTTGTCATTCATGCACAAATCAGATGGTATATCGCTGTAAATTTCACATGCAAATAGAAGAATATGCCACCTCAAATCCAAGTTTTACCATTATTTATCTTCAATGCTGAGGTACCAGTAGCCATAAACAAATGTTTATTTGGTGCTAAAACAATTTTGCAAGTCACCAGTGGATACGTAAATGAAATTTGATGGCTTTAAAATGAAAGCATACATGCCTCCAAATTACTGTGATTGGAAATTCTTTATCGCCAATAAAGGCTCGGTTTTTCCGTTGTAGTTGGAAACTTGGAATATTTCAAGACTTCCAACGACT